TCGGATGAAAATATCTCCAATTTGCGCTTTTCTCTCTTTTCTTCTCGCGCAACAGAAACACGTCACGTTTGTAAAACAAATAAAGTAAAATACGGCGAGCGGGAAAGTTGGAGAGATGTAAAAGGAAGGAAGAAAGAGAAAGAGAGAAAAAGAGAAGGAGGAAGAGAGAGAGAGAGAGGGAGAGAGAGAGAGAGAGAGAGAGCGAAGCGAACGAGATTCGTCGGCTGCACCGGTGCAGCCTGCTACTACTTAACGTAAGTAGTTCGTCAGAAGCAGGTCAGGCATCGATGCATGCATTAGAGGAGTGCATAGTCCCTGTGCATTTCTGGATGCGGTGCCTCATGAGTCGTAACGCGATTACCGAAAGTCTCTCCTACTTTCTTCGCTCCGATAAAGTTCTCCGGGGGTGGTATCGAGCGCGATTGAGTCGCGAATCGAGAGGAGTTTTACGACTGCCTCGCGCTGCCAATACGAAACTCTTCCCGGCGATACGGCACGGCGGCGTTATCGATACTTTTGCGCTAAAAGCGTCAGATAAAAGTACCGGAATTGTCCGTGTTCGCGCTTCGTGCACGTACAACATACGTATGTGTGCCGATCCCCGCCGATAAACACTATCGTATAATCGAAACGACGCCGGTAGGAAACACCTCGTAAACGTATCACAGCTCGCATATGCAAGCCGGTATTAACGGACGTGGACTTCGACGTAACGAAGTTATCGATCTTACAATTTGTCATTCCGGTGTACAGCGGAGAGGGGGCGGTGTGTACGTACATCGGATATCGCGCACATTGTCGCGTAAAATTGCCAAGTAGCGATAAACGGATGAACCGCGCATCTTTCGCCCGGGGAAACGTCGACGACGAGTCGATACGACGGGCTTTCATCGTTCGAATCGCGACTCGTGGAAGCTACGTTTGCTTATACTTCTGTTTCGTTTTTCGTACGCATTGGGCCCCCGCGATGAATGATTTATTTCCCGCCGAGGAAACAAGTCGTGCGCACAGAGCGGCGAATGAAATATTCAAATTAGGTGCGTCGGCGAGTGACGTCGCACTAAAATGCCAAACTCGCGCGGGAAGAAAAGGTCTCGCGGATGGAACTTCGACGCGGGTGGAGGGAGGGAGGGGAGGGGGGATTACGAGACTAATAAACCTCTTTATTACGCGTCGTGAAGAAACCCATCCGCTTTATTTCGCCGAGAATCGCGGCGAAACTGTCGTTTTAATAAAAAGTACCGTGTCGCCGCGAGAGAAGACGCAGAGGAGGTGCAGCCAGACGAGCCGTCCCTTTTCCCGCGGGGAGACGGGGTTAATCCGACCGTAATTTCGTCGTTCAAGTTAACAACATCTCCGAGCGCTAATAGCCCGGCTCACGCGGCGGCGTCGTCGTCGCCATCATGGGCGATCCGGCGCGCAAACAATGCGCCATCGAGTGTCTATAATGAATAATCGCACAGTCCCGAGTGGTAATTAATAATTGTATTTATACGCACGCCGCGAGAGTTTGCGCTATCGATTGGTTCGCGTTTTCACAGTCCGACGGCGCGATCCTGATGTCAAGACTGGCGCGCGTGCTACACCGCGCCTGATAATATCGTCCGTCACACGGTGACGGTGACAGACGTCACTATCGATTATGCATGACGACGACGACGAGGCGCGAGCCGCGATCTCGCTCGTTTCTCGCGGCCGCGACCGCGACCGGATCGCGCGTATTCCATTTGTATTCTCACTTGACAGCCGTAGCCTGCTCTCTTCGTGCGAACGTGGGGAACCTGATTTCACGTGACGGCAGCGCATCAATTCTTCCGGTCATAACACGCGAGCGCGAACGCGATGGCAGATCCCGATACTTGTAAAATGGCTTCTTTCACGCTACGGACCGAGACTCTCCTTTGACGTTTTCGGATGTATATATATAAGAGACGATAACTATTGCCACTTTGAATATTTCTCAAACTAAGTGAGATATCAAGATCCCGTTACTTTGAGGTTGTGGATCACATTTGGATAATAAATAATTTGACCTCGAGTGGACGCGTCAAGGTGATATAAAGGTTCATTTTTTTTAATGAAATCGTATAGTTGTTTTTTATATAAATTCTTCTGTTCATTCTGTATATATAAGTATTACAGTAAGATCATCGGAAAATGAATATTTTACGTGATATTTTATATCATATGCACTGTTAAATATAAAACAATAAAATATCTCGAAAAGTGTTTACTTTCCGATCTTACTCTACCTTATCTTACTCCAGTACTTTTGTATGCAGAGTAAATAAAGAAATTAATTTGTACATATATATATATATAAACATACGCACATATGTGTGTATGTGTGTACATACGTATAAGTCATTTATTTAGAAAGTGTAGCGAGTTAACCATTTCGATCACCTAGGGGATCTATACACAGCGTTAGTTTGCGTTTCTAATCCACCGGCCGGTCACACCCTCCTGCGTGAATCATAGAGTCGCCACCTGAAGATTATCCGTTAATTCGACGAAGATTCACAGGCGACCTCGCCGAACGCCGGAGCAGTCATCACACGCGAGACATGGACGCGTAATCGCGCGGGTTCATTGCCCATTAAGATGTACATTGTCCAGTCAACGCGAACATATGTGCCGCGTCGCGCGTCGTGCACACGGATAAACATGTGGCGCGTCAGATATCCTCTGGACACCGGTCGTACGGCCGGTAGTCCGTAACGGCCGATGGACGTTCGACGGATCGCGAGCACAGAAACACAGACGCTATAAATATCGGTCGGAAGGAAGCACGAGTAGGGAGGGGAGCCAGGAGAGTGAGTATGTGTCGGAGGAGGACGGCTCTGTGTGTGTGTGTGTGTGTGTGGAGCGACGGGAGGTCGCCAGTGAGAAACGCCGAGATTGACAATAGAGAGCAGACGAGGGCGAGATCGAGGGTAGCCCGAGAAAGTTTTCCAATTTGAAGCAATTAGTTTGCAGTACGGTGTTGGATGGCATGCATCCAGATAATCGAATATGGGTCAGCGTTCAAAGTGGAATGGGTCGATCTACAGTCAGGAGGAGGAGGAGGAGGGGACGAGAGAGAGAGAGAGAGAGAGGGAGAGTTTCCCGTCCGCACGTGCGACGGGTCAACCCCGTCCTGGTATGGCCGACGCTTCGCATAAAACCACGTGGCACGATTCGGCGAGCGGCTGCCTTAGAATTCCGACGCTATCTGTCCGCGATAATCGATTGATCGATCGCATCTCGCGGTGATCTACCACTACGACTGATCGATGCTCCGCGATGCAACCGAAGTTAGGTCGCGTCACTCGCCGGGGCGGCTGACTTGCCGGCCGGCCGGGCGAGCGAGCGTCTTCGACTATGCGGTGATAGAGCTTTAAAGTTTTCCGCCCCACGTACGTATGTATGTACGGATGCACGTATGTGTGCTTGCGGGTTGTCGTACTTGATCGAACGGAGATACATGAGAAAAGAAATTGCGGTGTATCGTGACCGTGCGCGTAAGCGCGTTGCTACGATGAGGATATATAATACATATAGTCGCCGTGTGCGATATCCGCGATTGTGATTCGTGTCCTCGTAATTACGCGCGTGGAATATAATAAGGCGGCGTATAATAGCGATGACGATCCGAGAGGTGGTCTCTTCGTCTTCCTTTTTCTTCCTCTCTTTTGGTGCGCTTGAGAGGATTTTGTCCGGGAGCGCACAATAAATGATGCTTCTCTCTCCCTCTCTCTCTCTCTCTCTTATGGTAATTAGTATGGTATAACAGTAGAAAAACACTAAAATCGATATATCATTTCGTTTTAAGCCTTAAAGCTCCCTTGATGGTGTAAAATTAAAACTGATATGCATGGATACAACAAGCAACACTTCTCTATCAAGATATATGGTAGTTTCATCAAAATTATTATATATTTCCTTGTAAGTGACTGTTTTCTAAGATGACTGAGGATTGAAGTTTCTGGAAATTAGGTCCCAAAAAATCAATATATGTATGATACTTATAGAAACTGATAAAAAAAATACAATAAAAGCACAGAAATCACATTATTTTATACATTTATTATATATCCTTGCATGTTATCTTCAATCTTACGTATCTTTTAATATTTGAACAATTTTACGATGTATATGGCTCCTTTATTATGCGAAAAAGGATCCTCTGACTTCTTTTTGATCATCTTAAACAAACAAATCAACAAAAAAAAGAGGAGAGAGATAACTTCAGTTGTATTCTGTAAAATGACACTTCACAGCCAAGTTTATGCATGTCGGTTGAAAGATCGGTAGACTTTTCTCGCATGGTTCAGTAACAGAGGATAGAAATTGGCGCAAGATCCAGAACGATTGAAAAAGTTCAGAAGCAACTTCAGTTTAAAAGAACTCACACTATAAAATAGCATTGTCAAATCAATTACTTGCCGCTGGCTTGTTATTTTAATTTTCACAAGACGATAGTTCAACAAAAACTTCAGCACAACGAAAAATTAAATATCGCCGATAACACAACCGAACGCACTTGCAAACAGAAATAGCCACTTCCGCTCGAACTAATATACACTGTAGGAGATATTCACGTTCTGTCTGACAGAATTCAATACTTTACAGCTGAGAAATATGGGTATGTTGCTTTACCATACCTATGTCAATTTTGATGCTTTTCCCTTTATGTACAGTACAGTTTAGTTATCTTAAACTACAAACTCCATATCGATTGTCATGTACGTATTTAGTTGGATTGATTGATTGATTGAAATGTCATTGAAATTATACTCTATGTTACCTTGCGCTTAAGGAGATCATATCACGGAACGCTAAATAAACACCGCGTTCTCTCTCTCTCTCTCTCTTTCTATCTACCTTTTATCTCTATCTATTTCTATTTATTTATTTACCTTTCTTTGGTTCCTTTTCAATCTATATCCGGATTGCGAGTAATATTAGAAGAACGTTCTCTGTGACCGTAACTCAATTTTTCCGTTTCCATTTTACAGAGTCCGAAGCCAGCTGGGAGGAATGGTGGACCTATGACGGTATTTCCGGTGAGTAGTTTTCTTCGTTTACTGAGTTACACTGTTCCGTGAGAGTGATATTCGCATCAATGTCCGACTTGTCCGTCAAACTTTTCGTCTCAAATGTAGCACAGTTCGGAGCAGACGGTTCGAGACGTGTGCTAACTGCTCATTATGTACATCATCGTCGCAATTTAATGGCCATTCCTATTAGAGATGTCCCGTTGGGAAACGTTCGCCGCGCCCGCGACATTTTTTCGCTCCGCTGTCGTTTCAAAGTGTCACGCTTAATTTCCACGTTCTTCTTCTACCTTTTTTTTCTTGTTATTTCTGACTGTCGTGCAGTGCGATAGACAAAGCGGGAAACTTAACCGATCCGTTGCGCCAAGTTTGTGCATTTCGCGCAAATTTCTCGCAACTTCACCGCCGAACAAATAGATTCATGCGGCGTTAATAATAAACGGGAGAAGATATACGTGTACAATTAATTTCACAATACGAGATTCCGTGCGCACAAGTGAAAACAGATCTATCGTGCGACGTCTCTCCGCCGTGGTGGTGCCGCGAAATCAAGTTATTATTACAGTTGGGTTTGACGAGAGAACGCGTGTCCGATAAATTCGAGCGTTGCGACAATTCGGCCCCATTGAAACGTAAATACTCGAAATACGTCAAGTTCCTGAGAACAGAAAGTAAGTATTCGGCGAGCTCAGCCGGTCGCGCGGCTTCTTAATTTTCTTAATTTTAAGTTACGACGCCATCGAGTGCCTCGGGGCACCGGTGAATTTTTTAATCTCAGCGCTCTCTCCTCTCTTCCTCCTCTTCCTCGCCCGGTTCTCTCTCCCTCTCTCTTTCCTTCTACCACCACACCAGGCCGTAGTTTTTATTAAAAATAAGGCGAGCACCGATAAGGCCGCGTTGGTCGAGGGTCTTGAGTTTAGTGTTGTTCCGCCATGCGAGCCAGCTGCCACACGAAAAACAGTGCCGTATACTTGGCCAAGGGGCGTTCGCATAAAACGCCAAAAATTCCACTTCCACCTTCATTGTTAGCCCTTTCCCTCTGCTCCCCCCGCGTCTCTTTCCATCGCGCAAACCCTACGAATTTCCCGTCGGCCCGTTGACGTTAGAGAGGAAGTTGTTGATCTCATTTCAGAATTTACGAGCGCCACATAATTTCGCCATCGATTAGCTCGAGTGCCGCAACGAAATTAAGTTCGCCTTGCGAAGTGCCGGTAATATCGTTATCGCGCGCGATATTCTTGCGACGACGGACCCGGAACTTCTCTCTCTCTCTCTCTCTCTCTCCTGGTTTCTACTTCGTACCTTGACTTTTGTACAACGTGGACTTGTGAAATATATCCCGGAGGAAATGCGAGAACATCACTATAATGAAATGAAAATATGGAACACGACGGCTCATCGATGATTGTCTAACGCTGAACGTAATTCATTAGTCTATTACCCTTCTACGACGTGAGCTCTACGGTCAACTCTGACACTTCATTTTAATCTCCTTCAGATATAAGTCCCTTCGAACCGAGCACTGTCAGTTACAGAACGTCGTTAATATTCTCTCTCAAAGACGATTCTCTGTATCGACGAAGTCGCATCGCTCATGGGACCGAAGAACTTTTTAATCAAACCAGTTCGCGTTTTAGACACACCCGGTACACCCGGTCGTATCGACGAGGATGCTCGTGACTTATTACCGCGATCGACGGCGGGCGGGAGTCGATTTTTAGGGTTCACCGGTGTCTCGTATCGTGGGCAGATGGGCTCCTCGTTTTACAACCAATAAGCGCACACCCTCGGTCGCGCACTTTGAACTGTCGTTACATACTTCGCTTCCGCCGGATTTATACAGGATTCTCCATGATTTTCGCCGTGTCTTCTCTCATCCGCCGAAATCTTTAACAAATTCGGAGACGGGGCTTGGCCCCGGCGAAGATTTGATCATTCGCCTTTTCGCGCAACTTTTTGCCGCCCGGCACGATAATATCTCCTCAGACAATCCCCGCGCAAATATCCCGCTAAAGGCGAGCCCGCCGAAATCCAACTCGGAAATAAGTTTACGTTATCTTGCCTCTCTGAGATTTCATTCGCCCGAGGCACGTTATTTACCTCGTCCGCAACGCAGTGCTGATAATTGACTCAAACTTTCGTTAAAGAGGAATTGTCAGCAAATCGTGAAACGAAATCGAAGCGAAATCGTACGCGCGACTCCTCGAGTCTAACAGATTTCTTCAACGTGCCCGTTGCATGCGCTCGAGCGACTAACAACATGGAAGACTGCCAATGCAAAAAGAACTGCTTTCCTCGGAGTCGACCGTCGGAGGTTCGCGCGGAGGTAACTTCGCGAGGTATGCGGAAGTGCGCGCGAGCAATTGCACTTGCGCGCGTATTTACGCGCGGCAGCGAAATAATCGTACGTTACATTACGCTGTAGATTGCGCGGAGGTCGCGAGTCGCGTCGCGCTCGATGCTTTTTTCGACCACAAAATGTACCGGCGACAGTCATATTTACGACCGACCCTGACTTTATGAGCGACGCTGTAGTACATGATATATCTTTGATTTAGCCCCGAGGATACTCCGGCGAACTGCCTGAACTTTGCTACCGTTGTTATATTATAAATGAGACGGAGGGGGGAAAAAAGAAGTTTCAAGATATATCGCTTCGATTATTCGCCAACGTACCGTGTGTTTCGGTATTACCGTCGCTCCTCGCGCGATATGGCGGCAAGATCGATCGCGTGAAATAGGTGAATTGATGGCGATCGACGGCGACTTTTTCCGTAGAATCGTATTATTGATCTTCAGCTTCGCGCGAAGTAACTCCCGCGATTACAAGCACTCTCGTGCTTGGTGGTTACGTGATAACAGGCCGCGAGGATTATTCGAGCCGAGAATCGCGGCGGAGCCAAAGTGAATCATCAGACGAATAAAAATGCACAGTTGCGAGATGGCCCGCGAGAAAATCTCGGCGAATGCGAAACTTTCCTACGAGCGGGATTAAGTTCGGCGCTCGCACTCTCTCTTTCTCTCCCCCCTCCACTTTTTCCCGCTCGCTCCATCTTCCCTTACCTTGCCATGCAACTGGTAGTAGCATTGGCACCGCGTTATTCGGCGAACAGTTTCTTAAGCCCGGGGAGGAAGCACCACGAAGCTGAAGATGAAATTTCCGTGGCACGGCCGAGAATATGTCTTTCCGGCTAAAGATGCTGAAAAATGTAGCACGCATCTCGCGAGGAATCATATGGCTCGAGCCACACATTGCATTCCCAGCGAGAACTGCAATTCACTGAAGCTGCTGTAATTTTGATGACTCGAAATATTTTCACGCCGCAGACGCGCGAAGACGATTTTTCCCCGTTCGTGATAGTGAAAATGCGAATATTTGCAGAAGGTGTGCATGTAACAATACGAAATTGGATTCAACGCGATTCTAACTTCTGATTTTTTTCAGTTGGGATAGTTTTTAGCAGCGTTATGATATCTTCTTTTAGGGATCCGGAATATTAACTATGTATGTATGTTAAATATTAATATAGATCACGGTGAATGTGAAATTAAAATTGTATCGGTTTCATTTTTAGTAATTTTTCACCTGTTAAAATATATGCATACACCGATAGTTTTATACGTATTTTTGTAATAAACTTCAATAGTCACATGTCGGAGAACGTATTGAATAAGTTTGCTTTTTAAACATTCGAATTCCAGACGAGTGAAATCTTAGGTTTAGAATCGAGATTCCAGGTCGAAATTTTAACTCGACATTAACTTCGCAAATTCTGCCGAACTTGAAGAACCAATAGAGAATCTCAAAAACCATGAAACCGTACAGGCTATTGTCTTTTGATGCTGCAAATGATGTTGCAAACGAACAATGAAACAACGAACTTTCCTATCTCTCATAGTATCTTTATTATTTTTTTTTTATTGGTGTTAGAAATATCGACAGGATTTGATGATTTAAAAGAAGAAAAAAATGAGTATTGTTATTCCGGTCGCCAACTGCTGCTACATTCTGCACATTATAATCCATCCTGAAGTCAGTTCCTAATTGTTATCATGGCTAGTCAATAGTGCCACACAAAAGTACGAATCAATCGGAAATTTGGCATTAATCAATAAATCATACGTTGACTGATGACGATCGTCAACTGCCACGAGTAACGCTTTTGATACGTATCGCGCGTGCAATCGTTTGGTGATTTAATAATTTGACATCTCAAAAGCCCGGAATATTTCATATTTCGAGAGCGTCGATTGTCGAGATTTCTTGGTCACCGAGAATGTTTGTCATTGATTGGCGGTGGGACTTCTTGTCGATTGTTTTGGTACTCACGCTCGTCGCGTACTTGCCCGTAACCGAGTGTTACCGAGTCATTACATCTCGAGCCGACGAGTGTGCATTACCAGATGTGTGAAATTATTTATTATACATTTTCCGATTTTACAAGCGTTCGCGAGTTAACGAGCTCGTTGAGAATAAGAAGATAATTTGAATCGATATTTAAAATTTATTCTGAAGCGGGAATTCATTAAAATATTATAACTTCATGAATCTCACTATCCGTTAACTTGTATTATACGTAATATAAATATTATTACATGTTATACTTCATATAATAAGAAATATTGATTTATATAACGGAATCCATGAATATGAAAATGTAATTAATTATGCTCTCAATCAAAGATTGTGAATAACTTACAACTACGAAATCGACCTAAATCTCGCAAGTGATAAGATTGATTTCTCCAACAATGCTTCTTGTAACGCGAGTTTTAGAATCTATCGACGTCTCTTTCTTCTTCATTTAACCTTTTTATCATACTAAATTCAAATTTAAATTTTTGATATTTATACAATTGTAATATTTGGCCTTACATTTTATTCATTCTTAGCAATTATGAATATTCAAACCCTATAGAAATATTTAACGTCAATAAAACAATAATAATAAAGAGATTATTTGAAAACTGAAAATTTACCCAATGATTCTATCGTTTATCCGCATTAA